CTTTCTTAGCATCAGGCCGTATCATTTCATAATTTTACTGTTGTCACAAAAGGACTGTAAGTACATTGGGAAGACACCACAAAACCACCAAAGGCGAAAAGGGGTTCCAGTTGTCACTTGTCCAAGAAGGGAGTGAGTGTGGTTTTACGCCGCTTTTAGCAATATTCCAGCAATATCACGGCGGGGGACACCGGAAATAATTGTACCCATGTCGGGAATCGAACCCGGGTCTTCGGCGTGCCGAGCGAACGCTTTAACCACTAGGCTACTCGACCACCACCCAAGAAGGGAAAAGTAAGTCAATTTGTCATATTAATTTACTCATAACGTAGAGTGATTAATTAGTGATAGAATTGTGTGACTCACTGTGGAAAACTGTAATGCCGAAGCGAAAATTATTGCAGAGAGAAGTAGGATGGCATCTGGAAGGGCAGATAATTAACGTGTAAGGGCAGGTGTGGACGTACCGGAAACGTGGAGTACGTTCATTCACAGACTTATTACAGGGGGCGGTAGCCTAGTGGTTAAACCGTTCGCTCGTCACGCCGAAGACCCGGGTTCGATTCCCGACATGGGTACAATGTGTGAAGCCCATTTCTGGTGTCCCCCGCCGTGATTTTGCTGGAATATTGCTCAAATTGGCGTTAAACCATACTCACTCACTCACTCACTTATTACAGAGGCTATAATATGGACTCTTGCAAGTGGTGCCCCAGAGAAGACATTACAAAAGCATTCACGTTTAAGATTAGCTATCGTTTCATGTTCAGCAGCTATGCATCCCCTTCATTTTATGCGGATTTTTTTGTGCGATTATCTTGCTGAAATGGTAATTACGTGTCTAGCTGGAAAGTGTATCAAGTGTACAACTAACAGATCCAGTAATGTTCCGTCTAGTCTGTAGATGAGTGGACCAAGCTCCTGGTGGTATAACGACCCAACAGTCAGCCAATGAAATGTTTTCAGAAGAATGTTGTCAACGAAGGTGACTGTTTAGTAAGAAGGTGTTGTCTGTTTCCGCCGTCCCGACAATTCAGGCGCAGTTGAAGCTGAAAAGTGGGTTCATCACAGGCCGGACAACAACATTGCATTGATTGTTGAGTGTGTGAAACGAGCCTTGGTCTTGACGTTGCGAAGACTTAAAATAACAATTAATGTTTAGATCCAGCTTTTTATGACAAACATCCTGTACAGGTACTATTAACTAGAGTGAGTGAGTGAGTATGGTTTTACGCCGCTTTTAGCAATATTCCAGCAATATCACGGCGGGGGACACCAGAAATGGGCTTCACACATTGTACCCATGTCGGGAATCGAACCCGGGTCTTCTGCGTGACGAGCGAACGCTTTAACCACTAGGCTACCCGACCGCCCCAGGAGATTAGAGATAACATCACCAATAATGTGCAACTGCAGGCATCTTCTATGTTGTTACTAAACTTGACTTCACACATTGTACCCATGTCGGGAATCGAACCCGGGTCTTCTGCGTGACGAGCGAACGCTTTAACCACTAGGCTACCCGACCGCCCCAGGAGATTAGAGATAACATCACCAATAATGTGCAACTGCAGGCATCTTCTATGTTGTTACTAAACTTGACTTATCTTTGGCAAATGTTGTGGACACGAAAATCAAACGAATGAGCACAGTGATGCGATTAAAAAGGCGGAAGTGGAGAGACGTGGCTCCGGCCCCATCAATGATATCGGGCAGCGCGACAAGAGACTCGTTTTAACCCCAGTGACAGATGTTTTCGTTTGGTTAGACAATTTAGCAAATCATTTTAATCTTCTGTTTTACGCTATTTCCGTCTTCCAAATTCGATTTCGTTAAAGCATTTCTGATTAAGCATGCCCTTGGGAATTGATGTCTGAAAAGCCTGGCCGGGTAACAGTCTTTTAAGGTATGTATTCGCTCTCCGCTCAGGCGCTCTATCAACCAGGGCGGCCAGGAAACGATGAAGTCGAACCCCGGACCTTCCACTCTCCGAGCGGGCGATCTACCACTAGACCACGGAGGCGGTCAGATTTTGAATTGAATTATAATAACGATGTATAAGAACATATGTTCTTTCTGCAAACATTGTGCCGCTGTTCTTGTTGCTTTAATAACCATCTGCCATTAACCGTTCATTACAGAACCTTTCAGCTGCAATGGATACATGTATACATTTACAATGGAATAGATCAAGCGTCTCGTTTAGTCTCGTCCTCGGGGACTTCACGTAAACTAGATTCTGAAAATTGCATATGCTCAGGCACGTGCGACAACAACACATTGTTTGTTGTTTGTGTGGGTCATGGTGTAATGAATAAAGCATGAATGGTGTTCTGAAACGTATCGCGTATACTCTCCTAAAACACCGTAGGGGATGGTTCAATTGGTATAGAATGCTGGTAATAGATGGATAAGGAACAAGAAGGACAACGTGCAACATGACAATCGACAGAAAATGCTGGCAGTGTATCGTAAGGGTGCAATCAACCCAGAAGGACGACATTGATGTGTAGTAACAATGAACCTTTGCTGTGACATGATCAAGAAATGATCAAGCCCCGACATTCGTTTATACGACGTAGTGTGGTACGAATAAATCTCCCAATGACAAATTGAGGGAGTATTGCCCACTTCTCTTGCAGCACGTGGCCCAATTCGTCTAACTTCAGGGAAGGCCTTTGACGTCGGCGTTGGCCTTTGACGTCAGCGTTGGCCTCTCCCGATCATGCCCCACGCGTGTCCATTAGGGAAATGTCAGGCCATTGCAATCTGGTGATGTTTCGCTGCTTCAGGTTGTTAGTTGAATACGGGCACGGTGTGCACGACCGTTATCTTTATGAAAGACAAAACGTGGATCAGCATGGTCCACATCCGTCCATCCATTGACGTTAGTATGTTGTGTCGGTAGTGCTGTCCAGTGACTCTTCCATGGACAACATACAGTGGCGTTCTGGCAGTCATAGTTACCCCTCTCCGTATCATTACAGACCCACCCCCAAATATGTGATGTGAGCTTAACTTGACTTCTCATGACGTTCGTTTGGGCGTCTCCAGACAAGTCAACGCCTAGATCCAGAAAGTACTGAGTGAATCTGTATCGTCTATAACCTGACACGAGAATATCGGCGATTTACCCAGATTCTAAGCTATAAACATCATCGTGCAAAAGGCCCACATGCGCTTATCATGTTGTTGACGACACATTCCTAACCTGCTCACCAAATACTACATCAAAGCGAGAGAAAAGAGGTCACGTGTTATTTACGTGTGAATAATCCATACTAATGGTTCTGAGCGCATTGACGCCCTTTCTCTGAAGTGTTAAAATCAAGAATGACACCCTACCCATGTGGACATGGGAATTGCATGGTCTATGCGAAACGTTTCAGGTGTGTCGAGGCGTTATTTGTCTAAGCTGATTTTTCTTCTATCGACCGATTATAACATGTATATCTTATGATCTCCTACTTATGTTCGACTGCTGTGGCGTCATTGGGATTCGGGGTCAGGCATTATGATTTGTGTCGCCGTGTGCCGACGTGTGTCATCGTGTGTCATCGTGTGCCGTCGTGTGTCATCGTGTGTCATCGTGTGCCGTCGTGTGTCATCGTGTGTCATCGTGTGCCGACGTGTGTCATCGTGTGTTATCGTGTGTCAGCGCGTGTCGTCGTGTGTCGTCCAGTGTCGTCGTGTTACATCGTGTGTCATCGTGTGTCGTCGTGTGTCATCGTGTGTCGTCGTGTGTTATTGTGTGTCATCGTGTGTCGTCGTGTGTTATCGTGTGTCATCGTGTGTCGTCGTGGGTCATCGTGTGTCATCGTGCGTCATCGTGTGTCATCGTGTGTCATCGCGTGCCGTCGTGTGTCATCGTGCGTCATCGTGTGTCATCGTGTGTCATCGCGTGCCGTCGTGTGTCATCGCGTGCCCTCGTGTGTCATCGTGCGTCATCGTGTGTCGTCGTGCGTCATCGTGTGTCGTCGTGTGTCATCGCGTGCCGTCGTGTGTCGTCGTGTGTCATCGTGTGTCGTCGTGTATCATCGTGATGACCTTGATGACATGAATTTACTCATGCTTCAATCGCTGGCCCCTGTGATCTAACGGGAATATTCCTAGCTGAGCGATAAACAACATTCACCTTATTCGATCGTTGCGACTATTGACGAATTAACAGACACGTTAAATATGACATCAACTAACTCAATTGCCATCAGTTTTTACTTTTGGGTATTCAATCATTAGACTCACCTTTGTTCACGTTTCTTTTGGATGACAAATTTTTTTCTTGTCACAACCGAATATTTATACTTCAATCTGCATGACTTAACAACAACTTTGGTTCACGTTTACGTGGGTATACGTCTATGCCGGTTTACGTGTTCATGGGTTGACGTCTGCATTGGTAAACTGTCCAAAGGTTATCGCAGCAACGTCATTATTCAAGGTCTCAGTAAAGCTTTCAAAACGTTGTATGGTACACATGTTAGGGACATCTCCAAATGTGACACCATCAGTGTCAAAACTAATGTCCGATGCAATTCCCTTGTTTGACTTGTACCGTTTGTTCCACGGCTTGACTTGCTTTTGCATGTGTTTGGTACGGTTGCCACCAGTGGGTCAGGAGGTACATTTTAGCAAACACTTTACAGATTCAAAGAGACGTGATCTGATACAGTCGGAATCTTACGAGCGACTCTGATTTTAGCAGAGATATCTTATGAATATTGAAAGTCAATTTTAGTTATTTTGATTATTATGATTATGAGAAGGGTAGTGTCGCTTTTGTTCACGTCTACATGGCTTAACGTCAACATAAGTTAAACTGTACACGGGCTAACGCTGGCTAACATGTACAATTGATTGAAATCGTCATGAGTCAACGCCAGCTTGGGTTAAATCGTTCATTGGTTAACGTGTTCTTATGTTCACATAGTTCACGTATATTATTCATAAATGACGTCTCGACGCATCAGTTAACAGATCAAGGAGTGTCATAGTGCCTCACAATGCGATGTGGCCCCTGAGATGAAGCAGAGAATCATGGATAAAGACGAGACGAGAAAATGTTAATCAAACATGTATGCACAATCATCTCGTGAAAGATTAATCGTCACTTGAGTGTGCTCTTCAACTGTAGGATGATCAGAGTTCCTGTTACGGTTTTCAAGACGAGACTGTTGATAGGGCTGTCGGACTTGTAGGACTGATCACCTAAACCGGACAATGTAAGTGTTGCGGCATACAATTGTTATCATCAAGTAATCAAATGACTGGAACCTCATGAACTCGAAACTACTTGGACTTTGATAAAATACTACTAAAAAAGTAAAAGATTTCTCAATTCTTTCATTATAATATAGACCATATGACATGCCATGATTGACTATAGTAATATTAAACAACAGATTACAAATAGTAATATGAAACGATCGGCAGGTCCCCAACGTTTTGTTTGTAGTATATTACCACGTTATCTTGATTTCGAGACTGGGGATATCGAATCACACTCGCACTTATCAAGATCAAACATCAAATCAAGTAACTATCACCAACTCTCACAGTCACATTCACTTTCACATTGACACTCACACTCACATACACATTGACACTCACATTCACACGCACACTGACATTCACACTCACACTCACATTCACACTCACATACACATTCACACTCACATTCACATTCACACGCACACGGACACTCACATTTACACTCACACTCACATTCACATTCGCATTCACACTCACAATCACACTCACATTCATACGCACACTTACATTCACAATCAAAATCACAATCACAATCACATTCACATTCACACATTCACACTCACACTTGCATACACAAACACATTTACACTCACATACACATTCACACTCACACTCATACCCACATACACATTCACACTCACATACACATTCACACACACACTCACATTTACATTCACACTCACACTCACACTTACATTCACGCTCACATTCACACTCACACTCACATTCAAACTGACGCTCACACTCACACTTACATTCATACTCACAGTCACACTCGCATTCACATTCACACCCACACTTACATTTACACACATTCACGCTTACATTTATACTCACACTCACGCTCACGCTCACACTCACACTTACATTCACATTCACATTCACATTCACAATCACATTTACATTCACACTTACATCTAAATCACACTCATACTCACATTCACTCTCATATTTACACTCACACTCGCATTTACATTCACATTTACATTCACACTCACACACTCACACTAACGCTTCCACTCACACTCACATTCACATTCACACTCACACTCACATTCCATTTCCATTCACACTCACAATCACATTCACACTTATATTCATACCCTCTTTCACAGTCACATTCACACTCACAATCACATTCCTACTTACAATCTTACTCACATTCACGCTCACACTCACATTCACATTTACACTCACATTCACACTCACACTCACACTTACATTAACACTCACATTCACATTCACACTTACATTTACATTTACACTCACACTCACACTCACACTCACACTCACACTCACACTCACACCCACTCTCACTCTCACTCTCAATAACACTCACTTTTACTTTCACCACCACCTTCACCTTCACTTTCACTTTCTCTTTCACTTTCACTTTCACTTTCTCTTTCACTTTCACTTTCACTTTCTCTTTCACTTTCACTTTCTCTTTCACTTTCACTTCCTCTTTCACTTTCACTTTCTCTTTCACTTTCACTTTCACCTTCACCTTCACTTTCACTTTCACTTTCTCATTCACTTTCACTTTCACTTTCTCTTTCACTTTCACTTTCACCTTCACCTTCACCTTCACTTTCACTTTTACCTTCACCTTCACCTTCACCTTCACCTTCACTTTCTCTTTCACTTTCACTTTCACTCTCACGCTCACTCACATTTACACTCGCTCTCACTTACATTTACTGTCACCATCTCTATCACATTCACACTCACATTCACATTCACACTTACATTCATACTTACAGTCTTACTCACATTCACGCTCAAACTCGCGTTCACACTCACACTTACTCTCACGCTCACACTCACATTCACATTTACACTCACATTCACACTCACACTCACACTCACATTCACGCTCACACTCACACTCACACTCACACTCACACTCACACTCACATTTACATTTACACTCACACTCAAACTCACTCTCACTCTCAATATCGCTGACTTTCACTTTCACCTTTACCTTCACCTTCACTTTCACTTTCACATTCACTCTCACTATTACATTCACACTCACTCACATCTACTCTCACTTACATTCACTGTCACTATCACTATCTCTTACATTCACTCTTACTCTCACTTATATTAACTCTCACTATCACTATCATTTTCACTCTCACTCTCACATTCACTCTCACCATCATATTCACTATCACTCTCACTCACACTCACTCTTCACTCTCACTCACTCTCACAGTCACACTGAAACTGACACTCACTCTCACTCTCACTCTCACTCTCTCTCACACTCACACCCATACTCACATCCACATCCACATTCACCCTCACATTCACACTCTCACTTACAGTCACTCACATTTACTCTCACGTACAGTCACTGTCACTATTACTCTCTCTCACATTCACTCTCACTCTCACTCTCACTATCCCTCACATTCACTTTCACTTTCACTTTCACTCTCACTCTCACTCTCACTATCACTGTCACTCTCACTATCACTATCACTATCACAATCACTCTCACTTTCACTCTTACCACCACATTCACTCTGACTAACACATTAACACTCAGTCACGTTTACTCATACTCTCACTTACATTCACTGTCACTCTCACTATCACTATCACTATCAATATCACTTTCACTGACTTTCACCTTCACCTACACCTTCACCTTCACCTTCACTTTTACTTTAACTCTCACTATCACAATCACTTTCACTTTACTCTCACTATCACATTTCACTCTCACTATCACATTCACACTTACTCACATTTACTCTCACTCTCACAAACATTCACTGTCACCATCACTATCTCTAACATTCAATCTCACTCTCACTATCACTGTCACTAACATTCTCACTCTCACTCTCACATTCACTTTCACTTGCACATTCACTGTCACTCTCACTCACACTCACTCTCACACTCTCACTCTCACAGTCACACTGACACTCACTATCACTATCACTATCACTATCACTATCACTATCACTATCACTAACACTCACACCCATACTCACATTCACATCCACATTCACACTCACACTCAAACTCAATCTCAGTCATTTGTTATTTACGGCTGTCTGTTACCTAAACGTATCGCCTGAGCTATACGGGTCCGTATCACCTGAGCTTTCAAATTCAATTTGTTGGGCTGACATTTCGATAAAGCATTTTTCGTTCCCCTATGTGGTTTGATGGAACATATATTTCAAAGTACAATAAATGCGGGTACTTATCAACCTTTGTTTTGGAAGTATAACTTTGGATGGTCTTTATAATTTATTATATATGAATAATTGGAACATATAACTCTGGTACGTTTTGTGAAATATTTATTACGCAATTACTGGATATGCATGCATATTATGTATCTATTTCAAGCTATCATTATCTATTTAGTTATGAAATACTGCACTAATCTGAATATATGAAATATATATTTATATATCACTCACTTGAAACAACACGTTAACAATTGACCTGCTTTTGCATGTGTTTGTAATTGGTACTCTTGGTGGGGCAGGATACAGTTCCAATTTCAAGAGTTGTGTCTGCCTAGTAAGATTATTGTGTATCACTTGGCTCAAAAGCCAAACTCACATAGGGACAATGGGCACCTTGACATGGATTTCAGGTGAAAATTGACTTTGCTTTTGTTTGTGACAGCTGACACCGGTGGGAAAGGTACATTCACCTTTTCGCGAACACCTGGTATCATCACAATTTGTTAGTGACGTATGAACGCATGCTTGTGATATGGTCGGAATCATTCAATGGACTCGACTTAGCAGAACATTTGTATGGTTATTATTAATGGTTATTATTCGTGAAATAACGCTGTAAGCTGGGGCTGCTTCCAGTCTGCCTAACATAACTTATACAGTGGTTTTAAAGACTAAGATGGAGAAGACTCATAGGACATAGCACTTTGTCTTTTCTTGGCAAACAACACATTTATTTCGTCTCATGACCTGATAAAGTTTACATTTTCACTCAAGAATTTTCAAACATCCTCTATGCATTCTGAACATGGGCCGTTTTTGTGAGGGATCATAAAAATAATGATCTTGAGTGCGAAACCTTTAACTTGTCGTGTTCTTATTATCGAGTTTATTTTATCCTATCATAATAATTATGAATACAGTTTTGTTCATGTGTTGTCTTTGACTTTATATGCTTGATATAGTTTTTCTCTACACATTCTTTATTGAAAGCTTACGAGTTTAAATGTATGAATTACATGTAGTTCCTTTTGAATATTGATATATAAAACAATGAAACGGTTCTAATGGCTCATGCATATGTATGTATGCATCTTGGAAGCAATATCAAAACAACAATGCCAAGCCCTGGGGTATTCCTATTGACTAATTGTAGACACCGAGGTGAGTGTTGACTTTCATTTGGAAAGCACAGAGTGACAATGACAATTAGGTGTCACCGAGTTCGCTTTGCAGATGTTGCACAAAAACTTTACACAAGAATGAAAAGTACATTTTATACATTGGTGACTTCTACTTGGGCAGAACATCTTTTATTAAATGACAGATCTCGTCTTCGTTCCAGAAGGTAAGACAAATCAATATACCCTGACTCCTCAATTTAAGAGAAAATCAATCTCATATTATAATGTGTCATTTTTTCCAAACCCAGCCGTTTATTTACTGTTTTGTTAGTAGATTAAACTCACTTTGACTATATCCATTTTCACTACCATTTAACCGTGCCGTTGATATGGACTCGTCCAGCATATTCAACCAACTGCTTCTCTCTTAGGCGCGATCACGTGATAAAACCAGATATACTTTAAAACATACATGCACACAGCTTTAACTCATAAACAATAGTGTCCATCCTTTGACCAGTACCAGTTGTTCAAGGTTGTGATAATCACCTTACAATATGATCTGTTCGTGATTACTTGTTCTCCTCTTTCAGACTAGAATTCATGTTGTAAAGGATGACGGAATGCATCTCCAATGTAATACATGGATAACTGTGACATCGATCTGACAAGAAGACCAATGACGCACACTCGATATTTACGGAGGTCTCAAGGAATAAACCTTTCTGTCGTAGAATTCATCAGAACATAGGCTTGGGATATGCTACTTTCTTTTGGTTGAGATCCTCTGGACTGATTATTGAGCACAGCCTATTTCTTGCAGTTGAGATCTGCAGAACATAGCATTAGGGACAGTCGTCACACTTACGAAACTCAGAAGAGTCAAAACAGGGATATTCTTTGAGAACGATTGCGCGATATTCGTATAATACAGTGGTGCAGAACAGAAGATTGCAAATAGGGTTGTCACGTGCACAGTTGCGCGTCACAGACATTTGAGCAGAACTTTTTGTATCACAGATAGGACAGAGGACGCGGAATGTCGGAAAGAAGTCGAGCACCAACGAAGAGAGTCTTGACCAACTACGCCAACAACACCTCTGCCCATGGCATCTCAAAGTTGGTCGACAACAATGGCATCTTGCTGAAGTTGATGTGGCTGGTGTTGCTGCTGGTAGCGACAGGACTGATAGTGTTCCAGGTCATCAAGCTTGTACAGCAATATCAGAGGTGAGTCATTCATCACACAAACTTTGCAAATTGTTTGTTTGATTTTACCCTGGGGCTTCAAATACTTGACATTAAGTCGAAAATTAATAAAATATCTGCTGAAACTGTCAAGACTCTAAACTCTCCCGAACAGGATTTTCCACATGTACGATTTACCTCGAAATATTTTATTACGTCTATGTTATTTCCAACATGTTAAAAAGGCTTCTGTGACGGCCGTATTTGTATACCCGAGTGGCTATAATATTTTAAATCCATTCTTGACGTTTCTATGCGTAAAACTGTATCAACCCTTGTCATTGCATAAGTGAAGTAATAATGTATGATAAATAAATTATTTTAAATACCTTTATACGTGACATGAACATTGATGTCATAGACGTACCACAGTGAAGCCTCAGTATTCTCCACAGAATCGTCACTCTTGAAGTAACGAATCAATGTTACGATGAGACACGCGATTTTAGTGCTACGGCTCTGACAACACCTATCATCTCACAGAAGTGGTTGTACATGAATAGTCTTTGCCCGGAAATTACATTTGAAACAAACACCGTGTCTGTGATTACATTTCGTGGGCATAAAAGTTTAAGTGGACCAAGTTCCGTGCACTTTCTGTGAATGTTTTCCTTAATGATGTCTTCACATGAATATGATTGATGAAAATGCGAGCGTTAGAGAGATTATTAGTTAAGTGAGTTGTGGTATCATATCATATATCGGGAATCATCATGAGTCTTGACATGATGCCTAGTCTAACCAACCCGGGACGTTTCGGAGAATGTGAAGACTCCCAACACTGCAGCCTTCTGCATAACCCAGATTGTCAGAAGGGCTGTATACCTGGTAGCAAACCCAGGTTCTTTCCTAATGTCAGTCACCAGATTGGTAGGTACCGAACCTAAGGCACTTAGAACAATGGGGAGTTGGACAACTAGGTATTTGGGTCGCAAGCGTGACATTTCGAAACTGAGGAGCGAGGTCCGCATATTTGCCATGTTTTTCCTGTATCTTATCAATCACATTAGAGTCAAAAGGGACAAAATCAGGTTTGCGGGCCGGGATACGTATGAGGCTGTGTACGGGCCTCTACCTAAGAATTTTGTATTGATCATTTTCCATGACGCTCTCTACATATTCCGGGTCGTACCATGGATGGACCTTTGTGTCAAAACCACATGGCGAAGAGCTACACCATCATGTCGCTAAAGATACTGTGTTTGTACCAAACATCCACTGAAAATGTTTTGGACAGTCTCATTAAATTCATTACATAATCTACATTTAATATCTACATTTTGATGCAAAATCACACATTGAGCAGCAAACAGAAAGCCTTCTGTTTCACTCATCGGGCCAGCCGACGTCATCCAAAACGAAGGACTCTGCAGGGTTGCTGATCCTCTCAACACCCTACTGAACCAATTTGATATGACACTTCGCTTGGTTGACACTCATTTCTGTACCGTCCAGCAGTACAGAACCTTTAACACTGACATTGATATTACGTCTCACATCCTAGGCTCGTTTACGAAAACTGTGGAATACCATGTTTTCTTGACATGCTTTATTTATTTATTTATTTATTTATTTTAAAATATTTGATATTTTTTATATGCAAATAACTAGGGTAATACTATTTTATCTTTATCTTTAATGATTCTATTAATCGATGTTTGAGACGTTATTGAAGCAACTATTAGTAACCGTGTATCACTATATATTGTTTGATAGAACCGCCCCTCTTATGTTATAGTGACAAAGGATTGGATGACTTCATTTGTACATTTATCGGCTCATGATACCAATTGCAAGTTTACCCTATTGGTTTATCAGATCGATAATACTATCAGTTATGTGATAAATACTGTTCTCAGTGACTATTGATAGTTTTCATGCAAGACCGAGAGATTGAGGATTTGTGAGTGACACAAATGTTGTTCCTTATTTATTAAGCCGTGAAGCCAGATTTTCTTTTTTGAAGGTACACGGGTCGGTTTAGAAATGGATTGTATTTTAATATATTTTTTTCATCTAAAACTTTGATTTGAATCGGTAGATGGTAAAACAATTTTAAAACTCTTGGCCTTGTTTGTGTCCGTATTAATATAATAAATATAAGATATGACTTGTGATAACGATTTATTGTTAAAAAATTCTGTTTTAGTCATGCAAAGCAGAACGCAATGCCTTATTATCTCAGATTCTTTTTTTCTCTTTTAACCACGATCGGTGGTGCATGAGTAATGATATAATATACTGAACCAAATAAAAAACTTCACAATCCAAAAATTTTAACATTTTGACCAGTTATCATTGTGGGCCCTTACTGTGTATTTAAACAGTAATGGCCACGTATTGTCTTCATATAACGTATTTTCACCCATACTTGTTAGAAGTCATTAACAAAAAAAGAAAAACACAAGAAAACAAAAGTCTTTACAGCCATTTGTCATGCCACGCCTTTCAAATGGCCAGGTCGACCACGTGTGACGTCACATGCAGAGGATCGTCAGATTGTCTTACGTCACCTCCGTAACCGATTGTTGACGGCTACACCAACCAGAAATGAACTGTTTAGGGGTAGACTGAGTGCGCAAACTCTTCGAAACCGTCTGAGAACTGGCACGACGGCCATACTGCGGGCCGATTCTGACTCAATTACACAGACGTCAACGTCAATTGTGGGCACAGCGACACTTACGATGGACTCAGAGGAATTGGAATCAAGTCGTCTTCAATGATGAACCCCGATTTAGTCTTCGATTTGCTGATGGTAGGGTGAGGGTGTGGAGGCGCCGTCATGAACTTTTCGCCCAGTGTTGTGTACCGGTTGACAGAAAGTTGACAGATTTCGAAGCGGAAGTGTCATGGTGTGGGGTGCTTTCTGTGGCAATTCACGTTCCAGGCTTCTTGTCATCCGTGGCAACCTAAACGCTGCTGCTTACCGCGACCAGGTACTGGCACCAGAACTTCTGCCTTTTATGGCAGCACATGGACCCAGTTTGATCTTCCAACACGACAATGCCAGACCCCACACAGCAATTTTGACAAGGAATTTCCTTCAGAATGCGGGAGTCAACGTCATGCACTGGCCGTCAAGGTCTCCCGACCTCAACCCGATCGAACACGTCTGGGATGTTCTTGGCAGAAGTCTGCGCACTCTCCAGAACCAACCACAGAATTTGCAAGATCTTGGCACATTTTTGCAGCAACAATTGCGTCGTTTTCCAAAATCATGTGTTCACAAGCATCACAAGGTCCACGCGGAGGCGTTGTGTGGCAGTTGTAACAACGCACATGGTGGCCATACACGCTACTGAACTTGTGTGCCATCAGATTCTCGTGCTTGGGACTTATGATTTAAACTGTTGATGTTATTAACGAATACCGTAGGTGCTTGGAACAAATTATGGTTACCCCCGTTAATTAAAATCCTTCTTTGGACATTAATGATTAATAATTACTTTCTCTGATACATTTGTCCGTTGTATATCATATATAGGATTACTTTTACAAATGTGAAGTTTTTGATTTGACTCAGTATACATAATATATAAAGTGAAACGATGAATCAAGATGACGGGGAGTGTACATTTATAAATAACTAGGGACATACAAAATTACTTAATGCGAATTCCAAATGTATCCTGTATACACGACTGCTTAAATAATTCTGTATTAATGACTGCGAGGAACCTACATAGTTGCTTTATATCCTTACATTTAGGAGTACATAAGAGGCGTTTCAGATTCGTGATGTTTGGGAGTTTAGGTATTTCCTATCGATATAGGGGCGGTCGGGTAGCCTAGTGGTTAAAGTGTTCGCTCGCCACGGCGAAGACCCGGGTTCGATTCCCGACATGGGTACAATGTGTGAAGCCCATTTCTGGTGTCCCCCGCCGTGATATTGCTTGAATATTGCCAAAAGCGGCGTAAAACCATACTCACTCACTCACTCACTCCTATCGATATATGTTATCCTTTGTTTTCTAAAAGCCTCACAACGAAATAAATAGAAAATTCATCTGCATTGCGTGCATGTGAAATTACATAATTTACATAAGCGATGTTCTCTGGGATTATAGCTCAATCTTCTAATCTCAATGAGAGGGTTATGGTGTGATGTTCTAATCTTCAGTTGTGGGTAAGATACTGATTCAGGTAGCAAAACTAGGTTTAGTACAATCCTTTGGAGCTTGTTGCAACTGTACTACGCCAAGATTGATCAAATTGATCGTTCATTGTTCTCTCAACAACTGCTACGATCCAGTCTGAATTAAAATGTTGTGGTGAATGAAATACGGCAGTCAGTCCTCAAGAGTTCAGTATATTTTCAGCGCAGCTTAGCCATTGGTATCTTATTTGATTTATATAACAGCTATCAGCATTTACCAAAATAAATATAACTTGTGATAGCTCTACACTTTGGGCCTACTTGGGATCCCTTATTTATGCCAAAAACTAGGTCTTTTACCTATTTTATATTGAGTGGGACCCTTCCAAGTTCTCCACATACAAAAAATGGGGGTGATGTCCTCAGACCAGAAGCAGTTTCTTACAATCTTTTAAATGGGTTCTCTCAATAGCTTCTGTCCCCATAATTCGGATCCATACATAAGTATGGGAGTAACCAGACGCCGAATGCTTTACACGAACAGTCTAATGATAGATGGAGGTTTCTCCTCTTTCTGAGTAAACAAAATATTGCTTTGGATGAAGTTGCTTTCACATATACTGAACCAAATTAAAAACTTCACAATCCTAAAATTTTCACATTTTGACCAGTTATCATTGTGGGCCCTTATTGTGTATTTAAACAGTATTGGCCACGTATTGTCTTCAGATAACACCCGTTTTTGTGCAGGTGAATCGATCAAAATCATGTGCCCAGCACTATAGTGGCCAAAGTGGTTTTTCACGTGCAACTGGTCACGTGACCATAATACCGCACGTGTTTACAGCCATACTAGACTAACATATAGTCTCTGAAATGAACATATCATACAGAAAAAACAGTTGTTCAGTTATCTTAATAAAAATCTAATAAAAAGGGAGCCCAGTGATTCTCTTTATTTTCAGAGTACAGGAGTAATCTAGACTTGCCAAACATTATAGACTTGCATGGGCTGTAGTTGATATAAATGTATCAGGGTCTGTAAGACAGACTAACAGCCATACTTGTTAGCAGTCATTAACAAAAAAAGAACAACACAAGAAAACAAAAGTCTTTACGGTCATTTGTCATGCCACGCCTTTCAAATGTGCAACATGAACGTGCCATCGGCATGTTGCATACGGGAACGTCCGTAGCTGAAGTCGCAAGGACGATGGTTTGTAGCCGACGGACTGTTTATGATTTACAGACGCGTCTACAGCAAACGGGTACCAACGCTGATCGCCCACGGCCAGGTCGACCACGTGTGACGTCACATGCAGGGGATCGTCAGATTGTCTTACGTCACCTCCGTAACTGATTTTTGACGGCTACATCAACCAGAAATGAACTGTTTAGGGGTAGACTGAGTCCGCAAACTGTTCGAAACCTTCTGAGAACTGCTCACCTTCAAGCACGACGGCCATACTGCGGGCCGATTCTGACTCAATTACACAGACGTCAACGTCAATTGTGGGCACAGCGACACTTACGATGGACTCAGAGGAATTGGAATCAAGTCGTCTTCAATGATGAATCCCGATTTGATCTTCGATTTGCTGATGGTAGGGCGAGGGTGTGGAGGCGCCGTCATGAACGTTACTCCCAGTGTTGTGTACAGGAAGTTGACAGATTTCGAGGCGGAAGTGTCATGGAGTAGGGTGCTTTCTGTGGCAATGCACGTTCCAGGCTTCTTGTCATCCGTGGCAACCTCAACGCTGCTGCTTACCGCGACCAGGTACTGGCACCAGAACTTCTGCCTTTTATGGCAGCACATGGACCCGGTTTGATCTTCCAACACGACAATGCCAGACCCCACACAGCAATTTTGACAAGGAATTTCCTTCAGAAAGCGGGAGTCAACGTCATGGACTGGCCGTCAAGGTCTCCCGATCTCAATCCCATCGAACACGTTTGGGATGTTCTTGGCAGAAGTCTGCGCACTGTCCAAAACCAACCACAGAATTTGCAAGATCTTGGCACCATTTTGCAGCAACAATGGCGTCGTCTTCCCAATCATGTGTTCACAAGCATCACAAGGTCCATGCGGAGGCGTTGTGTTGCAGTTGTCAACGCACATGGTGGCCATACACGCTACTGAACTTGTGTGCCATCAGATTCTCGTGCTTGGGATTTATGATTTAAACTGTTGATGTTATTAACGAATACCGTAGGTGCTTGGAACAAATTATGGTTACCACCGTTAATTAAAATCCTTTTTTGGACATTAATGATTAAAAATTACCTTCTCTGATACATTTGTCCGTTGTATATCATATGTGGGATTACTTTTTAAAATGTTTTATATTTGACTCAGTATACTTACAAGCGTAGGTAAACCGTCTATGTTATGAAATTGTATGCTCATTTAATTGCATCCATCAACTATTTTCAACGTTTTGTCTCCAAAGTGAGAAGTATAACTTTGCCTTAACTGTATCTCCACCAAATATAACAACATTTTATTTGCAATATTGACATCAAGTTTCCATTTGCCACAATAACAGTGGTAACAGAAAAACCACATTTCACCTCACATCAGAAATAAACATGTCACCCCAAAATATGTTAGCTCGGAGCATATATTCTGTCAGTAACAAAAATCCGAGGTAGCCATAAAATTAATATGGCGGGTCAATAAATGTATTATATCATTCATGCCCCAGGCGTCCAGTGAACACTAAGACATCCATTGAGAGCACCCAGCTGACATTTCCCAGTGTCACCATATGCAACCTGAACCCAGTCCTCAACTCCAAGGCGAGCGAATACACCATGTACGAAGTCATTGAGAGAGTAGCCGAATACCTGAAGGTTCCTCTGTCCGACTTCAAATACACTGGCGATGTAAGTACACACAGGCGACAAAACCCTTTCCATATTCTTAACTAGTTTCTGCCAAAAGCGGAATCAATTGTACCATCATAAGCATGTGTTTCCGAATCACTATCAAACAGTGATGATACCAGGTTTTCGCGCAAACGTGAACGTACCCTGCCCCACCGGTGGCACTCATAACAAATACATGCAAGAACAAGTCAATTGTTCACCTGAAGAAACAGCGGTAAATGTCTTCAAGTGCTGATTCGGTTGGACTGAAATTTGTATTTTCGATTCGATCGTCAGTGGTCAGTACAGCAGCCGTGTTCTATAGCAGTGTAATGTGCATCACATCGAGGGAACATGTGTTCCGGGCAACATTGCATCTTCGTTGTTCATAAAAGCGACAAACGATTTCCTTTTCCATATGTAAAATGAAGCGACAAAACACGTCAAAAGTCATACGAAATCTGCGATTCGACTGTATCATACGCATAAATGTCCTACTATATCACATCACACCTGGTATCATCACTTTGACTTTGACTGGTACCATGTGTTCCTGAACCTTTGTTTAGATGAACAACTAACTTGCCTTTGCATGTGTTTGTGACGGGTGCAACGGCGGGACAGGGTACGCTCGCCTTTTTTGCGAACACCTGGTATCATTACTGTTTGATATTGAGTCCTAATCACATGCATATGATGTAGCCGGAATCGTGCACTATACTGCAAATGCAAGGTGATTTTTGCGTGTCAGCGCAAGGTGGGAGGAAACCCAGAAGTCTCAGACGTTTACCACTTCGGTGAAACCAACGAGCACGGGTATGGTACTGACAAACCTAGAAACATAATCGGGGCGAACCGGGATTCGAACCCACAATCAGAGGTTTATGGCGTGCCCAAGGGACGCAACTCTGCAAAGCGAATCGCGGCGCCTTAGACGACTGGGCCACCCGTGCCCCCAGTTTTCACACGAAGAAACAACGGGAACACATGGTACAAATCAAAATAGGGAATTGCTTCGGACATATTTTTTGTCACTGATGCGTCAAATTTGGAAATATCCTCCACGTTCCTTCCAAAAGACTTTTTGAAAGCTTTACTGAGGCCTGATGACGTTGTAACCTTTATCAAACAACTTTCGAGCAAGTGTCGTATGACACTCTTTGAAATCATCGGGGAAAGAGCATGCTTGCTTGTTCCTCAAAAGTTGTGAAATGTAGACACCAAAAGGTGAAGCTCCTGGAATACTGCTTATCATAAAGGGAAAGCTGACTATTTGAAAGTTGAAGCCATAACAAATGTGTATAATATTCGTAATGGACGTCTGTATTAACTCTTGCAATATGAACAATATTAGTGTCAGTATATTTGATGAGTATTAGACTTTCCTGAGGGGTCTTTGTGAACGTCCAAAAGGTGGAATTGGAACATTGGTGAAGAACAGTTAGTATAGCTCAGCGATATATATATATTATCCATTTTATATACACCAGACGACTCCATTCATGCCTTTTCAGATTCAAGCTAATGATAACTACAGTTTTGCCGATGTCAACTTCAAAAGTGAGTAAGCCAGTGTCGACTACAGAGATATGTAAATTATAACCTATTGTTCAAGAACCTATTGTAACATGTGCACTTATCCTGCTGTACCCTGTGTTGAACTGTAACTAATCGCCCACTTCTTTTGGGCACCAAACTCCAAATTGTTCTCCCACACTGACCATCTACCCATCTGTGCTATTCACTCTGTCTTCTCCAGCATCTAACGACAAACTACTCCTCTCCACTATTCACTTTGTCTTCTCAAGAATCTGATGGTCTCTACCTTTCTGCACTATTCACCCGACCCGTGAAGATCCGGGCTAGAATAGGCCTTCAGAAACCCATGCCTGCCGTAAAAGGCGACTATGCTTGTCGTACGAAGCGACTAACGGGGTCGGATGGTCAGGTTGATGCATGTCATTGTATCCCAATTGCGTGGATCGATGTTCATGATGTCAATCACTACATTATTTACAGACCGCCGTAATAGCTGTAATATTGCTGTGCGCGGCGTTAAACAACACACAAATCACTATTCACCCAGTCGTCTCTAGAAAATAAAGGGCGGAGGATAGCCTAGTGGTTAAAGCGTTCTCTCGTCACGCCGGTGACCAGGGTTCGATTCCCCGCGTGTGTTCAATGTATGAAGCCCATGTCTGGTGTCCCCCGCTGGAATATTGCTAACGGCGGCGTGAAACCAGTCCTAGAATCTACACCTCTTTATTACTTGTCAGATGTCCTTCAGGTTCCCGTTCAACAAAGAGATCTGGCTGCCATAAGTCCATGTAAAGGTATTGGAATTGCAATTGCGTTAGCGCTAAGATGGTTTCGCCATCTACCGACCCTCTGTGACAGTATCACACAGTAGTTACCCAGACTCTAACTGCCCCATGTGTCCTCTATGCCAGTTAGTCACGCATTAGTTACCCTGATTCTGACTATTGTCCTCGTGCAGCTGATGACCCCCTGGACGAGTCGATTCTAGAGTTCCAGATGGAGATGCAGAGTTTATCATTAGGCCAACTGAAAGAGATTTCGCAGACCTTCGAGAGCTTTGTCATTTCCTGCACATTCGGAGGACGAGAATGCGACAGCAGGTAAGGATATAGTGTCACCAAGGAACTGACAACTACGTCGAAATAGATATTGGACAGACGCAAAGAAAACGTTTTTCGAGATAGTATTAATTCTGTCAAAATAATCATATTATGCAATTCAGCAATCAGATATTTCATTGATACAAATTTGTTGTGCATACATAGTAGAAAACACGACATATTGCAACAGATGTTTTCAAATCTGTCCTTGTTTGGTCTTCCAGCAACTTCACTGTGTCCTATGATCGCGACTACGGCTTGTGCTACACCTTCCCCAACAAGACAGACGTCAAGAAAGGCAATCGCATCTTCAACGCAGGGCCGCTGTATGGTAGGTTCATTTAATAGCATGCTGTTTTTATGGTCGGCAACACCATAGCTAGATTCCTGTTGCAATAAACCAATTCCTGGTGGATTCATATATCTTACCATGTAAAAAGTATATATTTATTTCTTTAAATGCTGATTGTTTCTGTTTTTTAACCAATCCCATTCAACGCCCCTTTTATACTTCCCCAAACCCACATTAACGGTAGCGTATTAATGATATCATTCGCATAGGCCGCAAAGGTGAGTAGATGTGGTCTGGTCTGGTGTGGTCTGGTCTGGTGTGGTCTGGTCTAGTCTGGTGTGGTCTGGTCTTGTCTGGCCTGGCCTGGCCTGGCCTGGCCTGGCCTGGTCTGATCTGGTCTGGTCTGGTCTGGTCTCGTCTGGTCTCGTCTCGTCTCGTCTCCCCACACGGATACAATATCATATGCATATCTATAATGCACCAAATCCACACCATAAAACTCGCTTAAAGAGCTACATTATTACCACGGTCAATGCATCAGTGTGCACTGGATTTTCATGTTCGGTACCCTGGTATACAACACAAGCTGCCGGTGAGACGTGAGACCATATCATCCTACTGCGTACCCATTCACTGCGGGGCATATTTCTAAAAAGCCACTTGCCAAAGGAGACACAGCACATGTTACATGTGCCTTACCAAAAGCGTTAAGTTCACCTGATGCGTGACCTGTACGTTGTACTCGGGGCCAGTGTCACACTATGAGAAGCCTCATTTCTGGTGTCCCCCGTCGTGATATTGCTGGAATATTGCTAAAGGCGGCGTAAAACCAAACTCTCTCGCACTGCTTCCACTTTGCTTAAATGTTTTCAAAACGTCATAATCGTCAATCCCCCTAACAAAAGCACTTCCAAAAACAAATCCATCCCTTACATCAATGTTCTTTTAACCACTGAAACGCGAAAACTGGCAAATGCCCCTTGAATGATACCTACGTTACTGTTGAAATCACACAAACAAAATCGCCACAGAGTTGCAATCAATATTTCATGAGAAGGTGCACGTCTTGCTCTGGTTGATTGGAAACAATAAGACGTTATCGCCAAAGGAAAACTTCCAATACAAAACACGATCACTGCCGCGTACAGTTGTTTTCTGCTCAAATATCATTGTGACCCGAACACGAGAGAGTCTTGAGAGGCAAAAGAAAGTATACATATTTTGTATGTTATGTAATTGAAAATTGAGTGAGTGAGTGTAGCTATACTCTGCTTTTAGCAATATTCCAGCGATATCACGGTGCTTGACACCAGAAATAGGGTTCACACATTGTACCCATGTCGGGAATCGAACCCGGGTCTTCCGCGTGATGAGCAAACGCTGAACCACTAGGCTACCTGACCGCCCTAATTGAAATTTGAAAGTACAGTTGTTAAATTTTATTATGTCTATTTAACAAATTTTAACGTCAATCATTCAATCTTACAACATTTTCTAAAAACGTAATTATAGATTGGGTAATTTTGTGTAAGAATATACTGGTTCAATGAAGACTGGTAAAAATGAATTTGTAACCACGTGACCCCCTACCAAGTTTGAAGTGTTGTAAATTTGTGGCGAAAATAACGAATTCATTGATTTTCAAGTGTCTAAAACACCCATCAACAGTTGTGCGTAATTCGATTTTTGTTTTATTCTTAAAAGTTTTTAATCAAATCATATTTTATAAAAAGAAAACCCAAGTAGATCTGAGGTATTCTTTGAGTGCAGATTAATCGCCAGTACAGTTCATCATTTTATATGTTATCTCTTAAGATATTTTCAATTGAAAATCAATCATATGATAAAATCAACTGAGAGGCAGAGTTTCTTTTGCCCCCGGTTAACACATTGGTTGAATACATGAGTGAGTGAGTGAGTATGGTTTTACGCCGCTTTTAGCAATATTCCAGCAATATCACGGCGGGGGACACCAGAAATGGGCTTCACACATTGTACCCATGTCGGGAATCGAACCCGGGTCTTCGGCGTGACGAGCGAACGCTTTAACCACTAGGCTACCCGACCGCCCCGTTGAATACATGACACGTTCTCTGTATTACTAATTATGTATTCATGTTCTTCCAACTTCTAAATGCCTATTAAAGACGACATGGTGGTTATGACCAGGTCTGAAGCTGATCCTGAACGTGAACCAGAAAGAGTACCTCCCCTTCATTACCTCTTCCGCCGGAGTCAGACTACAGATCCATGAGTTTGGATCCCAGCCCCACATGCTTGAGCTGGGGCAATCTCTCTCCACTGGTTTCGAGACGCAGATTGGAGTGAAACCCGTACGTGCATACCTCTATCAACCCAATAACCCTTCATAACGATATTGCGTCTGTACGAAAGCCTAATGACACCACATTAGTAGACTAGTATAATTCAAAGTTTTTCAATCACCATCTTTTCGAATTTCGAATAAGTGTGTTTTGAGCGTATAGACATCAAAACTGAGCTTCACACCCGGAATTTCGAGTTGTCTTCTCATGATTCTTCTATTATCGATTAATTTCTCGTTATTTCAAGTATTGTATTTATTTATTTAAAAAGCATTAAATAATTGACATAACGAGAAAAATACTCGATATTTCGATATACAAAAGTTTGTGATGCCAAAGTGGCACCAATAGGCTTACGTACGTCTGCAACCTCAGACATGGTTCTACCGATTTGGCCTCTGTTTATGCCGAGAACATGGCTGGTACGATTACAGCCTTTTGATATTCTGAAAGCTTTTTAAGACCCATAAGAATAGTCTCTTTGAGGAAAATATTTCGCTGAAAATGAATTTCACATTATTACTGTCGGTTACGAGTAATCATATTATTCTTTGCGTATTGCAAGTACAGGGAGATATATAACATTCACGGCTATGCATTGTTTAAGAAACTTCTCAAAATGATTAAATATTGTATAGTAAAATCTCTTTAAAGTATAACCACATATAAACTTTTGCTAACACATTCACATCGTTTATGGTATCACGGGTAGCCAGTTGCCTTACGGACCGCAATTCTCTGCGCAGAGTTGCGTCCCTTGGGCATGCCAGAATCCCACGACTGTGGGTTCGAATCCCGGTTCGCCGAAAAGGATGTGAGTGAGTGAGTTGAGTTTAACGCCGCTTTTAACAGTTTTCCAGGCACATCACGGCGTGTCGGCTAAATATCAAAGTGATGCAGGTCTCAGACGTTTACTACTTCGGTGAAACCCACGAGCACGGGTATGGTGCTGACATACCAAGAAACATAATCGGGGCGAACCGGGATTCGAACCCACAATCATAGGTTTCTGGCGTGTCCAAGGGACGCAACTCTGCACAGCGAATCGCGGCGCCTTAGACGACAGGGCCACCCGTGCCCCCTGCAATAACTCGAGGCACGCAACAATTAGTTTCAAATTCTAAGCAGCATCAGTGTCTATAGGTTCGTGACGTCTGGTAATGCTTCAATTTATGCACGTGTACGTGACTGCAGCTTTATGTTCCACAGATCCTGTACAAGAGGCTGCCCGATCCCCACGGCACGTGCGACGACTCCGGGAAGTACGAAAGTGTTCTGGTAAGGATAAGTTTAATTATGGTATCACCTATCATATTTGAAACACGACTGTCACTAGACGATGTACCCATTTTTAAGGCGAAAGAAAATAGGATATCCATATTTAAAATATGTACAAGTATGGTTCACAATTTGGTTCGAAAGCCTCCGTGGTCTAGTGGGGTAGCGTCTGATCGGAGAAACACACACACACACACACACACACACACACACACACACACACACACACACACACACACACACACACACACACACACACACACACACACACACACACACACACACACACACACACACACACACACTCACACTCACATACACACACACTCACTCACACACACACACACTCTCTCTCTCTCTCACACACACACACACACACACACACTCACACACACACACTCACACACACACACACACACACACACACACTCACACACACACTCACACACACACACACACACACACACACGTCGCTATGTAAGTAGAATAATCATGAAACCTTCGCTGAACCCCATTTCACCTCACCGCACAATTTGGAAAAGTCGGAGAGCTCAAATATGAGTGTGTGGGTTGGGGTTTATGCCGCTTTGAACATATTCCAGTTATATCACGACCTGTCAGCTTGATGTGGGAGAAAAGCCAAAAGTGATGCAGGTCTTAGACGTTTACCACTTTGTAATAACCCACGTGCAGGGGGAAGGTTCTGACACATAATAGGGGCAAATAGGTGAATGTTAAACCGAAAAAAACACTTGTCAATAAATACCTTTTAAGGTTCCTTTATGTTCCTATCCTACTTATACGACACGTGTGGACACTTATATGATCTTGTAAAATAAACCATTATTTCTGCGACTAGGACTGTGAACGCGACTGCCTGGAGACGCTGATAGAGGGTGACTGCGGTTGTTCACGGCGACAAGTCTCTGATGAAGATCCGTGCGCATCCAAAAGTGAGTCTGAAGTTCTATGTGCCATCCTACGATAGATCCCCAGTCTCATGTTAACGTGTGTGAATTGCAGACATCCCCTGTGTCATGTTAACGTGTGTGTATTGTAGACATCTCCTGTGTCATGTTAACGTGTGTGTATTGTAGACATCTCCTGTGTCATGTTTACCTGTGGGTATTGTAGACATCCCCTGTGTCATGTTAACGTGCGTGTATTGTAGACATCTCCTGTGTCATGTTAACGTGTGTGTATTGTAGACATCTCCTGTGTCATGTTTCCCTGTGTGTATTGTAGACATCCCATGTGTCATGTGCACCTGTGTGAACTGTAGACATGTCCTGTCTCATGTTAACGTGTGTGCATTGTAGACATCCCCTGTGTCATGTTCACCTGTGTATACAGTAGACATCTACTGTAGACATCTCCTGTGTCATGTTAACGTGTGTGTATTGCAGACATCTCCCGTGTCGTGTTAATGTGTGTGTATTGTAGACATTTTCTGTGTCATGTTTCCCTGTGTGTGTTGTAGACATCCCCTGTGTCATGTTAACGTGTGTGTATTGTAGACATCTCCTGTGTCATTTTAACGTGTGTGTATTGTAGACATCTCCTGTGTCATGTGCACCTGTGTGTATGGTAGTAATCCCCTGTGTCATGTTAACGTGTGTGTATTGTAGACATCCCCTGTGTCATGTTAACGTGCGTGTATTGTAGACATCTCCTGTGTCATGTTAACGAGTGTGTATTGTAGACATCTCCTGTGTCATGTTAACGTGTGTGTATTGTAGACATCTCCTGTGTCATGTTAACGTGTGTGTATTGTAGACATCCCATGTGTCATGTGCACCTGTATGAACTGTAGACATTTCCTGTCTCATCTTAACGTGTGTGCATTGTAGACATCCCCTCTGTCATGTTCACCTGTGTATACAGTAGACATCTACTGCAGACATCTCCTGTGTCATGTTAACGTGTGTGTATTGCAGACATCTCCTGTGTCATGTGCACCTGTGTGTATGGTAGACATCCCCTGTGTCATGTTAACGTGTGTGTATTGTAGACATCTCCTGTGTCATGTTAACGTGTGTGTATTGAAGACATCTCATGTGTCATGTTAACGTGTGTGTATTGAAGACATATCCTCTGTCATGTTTCCCTGTCTGTATTGTAGACATCCCATGTGTCATGTTCCCCTGTATGAACTGTAGACATTTCCTGTCTCATGTTAACGTGTGTGCATTGTAGACACCCCAAGTATCATGTTTACCTGTGTATACAGTAGACATCTACTGTAGACATCTCCTGTATCATGTTAACGTGTGTGTATTGCAGACATCCCCTGTGTCATGTTAACGTGTGTGTGTTGTAGACAATTCATATGTCATTTTAACGTGTGTGTATTGTAGACATCTCCTGTGTCATGTTTCCCTGTGTGTATGGTAGTCATCCACTGTGTCATGTTAACGTGTGTGTACTGTAGACATTTCCCGTGTCATGTTTCCCTGTGTGTGTTGTAGACATCTCCTGTGTCATGTTAACGTGTGTGTATTGTAGACATCTCCTGTGTCATGTTAACGTGTGTGTATTGTAGACATCTCCTGTGTCATTTTAACGTGTGTGTATTGGAGACATTTCCTGTGTCATGTTAACGTGTGTGTATTGCAGACAACTCCTGTGTCATGTTAATATGTGTGTATTGTAGACATTTCCCGTGTCATGTTTCCCTGTGTGTGTTGTAGACATCCCCTGTGTCATGTTAACGTGTGTGTATTGTAGACATCCTCTGTGTCATGTCAACGTTCGTGTATTGTAGACATCTCCTGTGTCATGTTTCCCTGTGTGTATGGTAGACATCTCCTGTGTCATGTTAACGTGTGTGTATTGTAGACATCTCCTGTGTCATGTGCACCTGTGTGTATTGCAGACATCCTCTGTGTCATGTTAACGTGTGTGTATTGTTGACATCCTCTGTGTCATGTTAACGTGTGTGTATTGTAGACATCTCCTGTGTCATGTTAACGTGTGTGTATTGTAGACATCCTCTGTGTCATGTTAACGTGTGTGTATTGTAGACATCTCATGTGTCATGTTAACGTGTGTGTATTGTTGACATCCTCTGTGTCATGTTAACCTGTGTGTATTGAAGACATCTCCTGTGTCATGTTAATGTGTGTGTATTGTAGACATTTCCCGTGTCATGTTTCCCTGTGTGTGTTGTAGACATCCCCTGTGTCATGTTAACGTGTGTGTATTGTAGACATCTCCTGTGTCATTTTAACGTGTGTGTATTGTAGACATCTCCTGTCTCATGTTTCCCTGTGTGTATGGTAGTCATCCCCTGTGTCATGTTAACGTGTGTGTATTGTAGACATCTCCTGTGTCATGTGCACCTGTGTGTATGGTAGACATCCCCTGTGTCATTTTAACGTGTGTGTATTGGAGACATCCTCTGTGTCATGTTAACGTGTGTGTATTGTAGACATCCCCTGTGTCATGTTAATGTGTGTGTATTGTAGACATTTCCCGTGTCATGTTTCCCTGTGTGTGTTGTAGACATCCCCTGTTGACGTGTGTGTATTGCAGATATCCTCTGTGTCATGTTAACGTGTGTGTATTGTTGACATCCCCTGTGTCATGTTAACGTGTGTGTATTGTAGACATCTCCTGTGTCATGTTAACGTGTGTGTATTGTAGACATCCTCTGTGTCATGTTAACGTGTGTGTATTGTAGACATCTCCTGTGTCATGTTAACGTGTGTGTATTGTAGACATACTCTGTGTCATGTTAACGTGTGTGTACTGTAGACATCTCCTGTGTCATGTTAATGTGTGTGTATTGTAGACATTTCCCGTGTCATGTTTCCCTGTGTGTGTTGTAGACATCCCCTCTGTCATGTTAACGTGTGTGTATTGTAGACATCTCCTGTGTCATTTTAACGTGTGTGTATTGTAGACATTCTCCTGTGTCATCTTTCCCTGTGTGTATGGTAGTCATCCCCTGTGTCATGTTAACGTGTGTGTATTGTAGACATCTCCTGTGTCATGTGCACCTGTGTGTATGGTAGACATCCCCTGTGTCATTTTAACGTGTGTGTATTGGAGACATCCTCTGTGTCATATTAACGTGTGTGTGTTGTAGACATCCCCTGTGTCATGTTAATGTGTGTGTATTGTAGACATTTCCCGTGTCATGTTTCCCTGTGTGTGTTGTAGACATCCCCTGTGTCATGTTGACGTGTGTGTATTGTAGACATCTCATGTGTCATGTTTCCCTGTGTGTATTGTAGACATCCCCTGTGTCATGTTAACGTGTGTGTATTGTAGACATCTCCTGTGTCATTTTAACGTGTGTGTATTGTAGACATCTCCTGTGTCATGTTTCCCTGTGTCTATTGAAGACATCCCCTGTGTCATGTTAACGTGTGTGTATTGAAGACATCTCCTGTGTCATATTAACGTGTGTGTATTTTAGGCATCACCTGTGTCATGTTTCCCTGTGTATATGGTAGATATCCCCTGTGTCATGTTAACGTGTGTTTATTGTAGACATCCCATGTGTCATGTTAACGTGTGTGTATTGTAGACATCTCCTGTGTCATGTGCACCTGTGTGTATGGTAGACATCCCCTGTGTCATTTTAACGTGTGTGTATTGGCGACATCCTCTGTGTAATGTTAACGTGTGTGTATTGTAGACATCCCCTGTGTCATGTTAATGTGTGTGTATTGTAGACATTTCCCGTGTCATGTTTCCCTGTGTGTGTTGTAGACATCCCCTGTGTCATGTTGACGTGTGTGTATTGCAGACATCCTCTGTGTCATGTTAACGTGTGTGTATTGTTGACATCCCCTGTGTCATGTTAACGTGTGTGTAGTGTAGACATCTCCTGTGTCATGTTCACCTGTGTATACAGTAGACATCTACTGTAGACATCTCCTGTGTCATGTTAACGTATGTGTATTGAAGACATCTCCTGTGTCATGTGCACCTGTGTGTATGGTAGACATCCCCTGTCTCATGTTAACGTGTGTGTATTGTAGACATTTCCCGTGTCATGTTTCCCTGTGTGTGTTGTAGACATCCCCTGTGTCATGTTAACGTGCGTGTATTGTAGACATCTCCTGTGTCATGTTAACGTGTGCGTATTGTAGACATCTCCTGTGTCATGTTAACGTGTGTGTATTGTAGACATCTCCTGTGTCATGTTTCCCTGTGTGTATTGTAGACATCCCATGTGTCATGTGCACCTGTATGAACTGTAGACATTTCCTGTCTCATGTTAACGTGTGTCCATTGTAGACATCCCCTGTGTCATGTTTCCCTGTGTATACTGTGTCATGTTAACGTGTGTGTATTGTAGACATCCCATGTGTCATGTTAACGTGTGTGTATTGTAGACATCTCCTGTGTCATGTTTCCCTGTGTATATGGTAGATATCCCCTGTGTCATGTTAACGTGTGTGTATTGTAGACATCCCATGTGTCATGTTAACGTGTGTGTATTGTAGACATCTCCTGTGTCATGTGCACCTGTGTGTATGGTAGACATCCCCTGTGTCATTTTAACGTGTGTGTATTGGAGACATCCTCTGTGTCATGTTAACGTGTGTGTGTTGTAGACATCCCCTATGTCATGTTAATGTGTGTGCATTGTAGACATTTCCCGTGTCATGTTTCCCTGTGTGTGTTGTAGACATCCCCTGTGTCATGTTGACGTGTGTGTATTGCAGACATCCTCTCTGTCATTTTAACGTGTGTGTATTGTTGACATCCCCTGTGTCATGTTAACGTGTGTGTATTGTAGACATCTCCTGTGTCATGTTAACGTGTGTGTATTGTAGACATTTCCCGTGTCATGTTAACGTGTGTGTATTGTAGATAACCCCTGTGTCATGTTAACGTGTTTGTATGGTAGACGTCTCCTGTGTCATGTTAACGTGTGTGTATTGAAGACATCTCCTGTGTCATGTTAACGTGTGTGTATTTTAGGCATCTCCTGTGT